TTGGATACATTTTCTGCGAAAGCCCTGTCAACACTACCAGCAAAATTTCACGGAACTTCGCGCGAAAGTTAAGTTCCGTAAACATATCTCTGTGTGGACAAAGTCCTCCACTTATAAGAAATGAACCAAAAAATTGTAAAAGAACAAACATAATAATGTGGTTTAATAATTTTAACTTCCGCCGCTGCGCCGCGCCGGGCTGATCGCACTGTGTTTGGCGCAACGCGTGAAGTATTCCTGCAGTCTTGTAGGCGCTATGCGTTTCACGCCAACCGCTCCTGACCGCACTGTGTTTGACCCAATGGGTGAAGTATTCCTGCAGTCTTGTAAGCGCTATGCGTTTCACGCCAACCGCTCCTGACCGCGTGACCGCACTGTGTTTGGCGCGATGGGTGAAGTATTCATGCAGTCTTGTAGGCGCTAATATGTGTTACATGTCGACCGCTGTGCCGAGGGCCTGTCCTTTTCATCTCAAGTCCTCGTCATCATTCCTCTCTGTGCTGAGCTCCAGGCCAAATTGCGTGTTTAGTTCGTCTCTTAACTCAAGTAATTAAAGATGCTGTCTCTTGTATCACCGAAAAACGACAAAATTAGAAATTACTAAACTCTTAGGAAAGAGAGATTTTGTCCCTTTTTCTCATTGATAAAGTTTTTTTCTGAATCCGATTTTTTTACACCTACGTTTAAAAAAATTGCAAAATTTGCCGCCCCCCTAAATTTGCCGCTATGGGCCGCGGCCCATGTGGCCACCCCCTTAATCCGGCTCTGTCCCGAACACCCCTTGCGGTGTTTCAAAATTTCCGTTCCCTGTTTTATTTTTGAAGGAGAATAAATCAGCATTATTTCTTGAAATATTCGCAGAATTTTCTCGCGCAGAGAAGAAAAACCACGGAGGTTCTTAAGTAATACCGTTAAGTAGATTCCTATTTGAAAAGTTCATTTTGACAGGAAGTCTGCAACGTTGCAGACGGAGATATGAGGTTTTACCGTCGATTTTCAATTCTAGCGCTTAAAGAGTCCTGTCGAGAATAATCGATTCAATTCCGTGATTAGCGCATCAGACGGATTCAAAGCAAATCCAAAAACTTCCTTCGAAATATGCCTCCTTTGCTCTGTTGACGAAAAGTCCATTTCCCGGCATCGACATTTCGTCGTTCGGCTGACAAAAGGGCGTAACTGTCTTTTGGGATGATCCCGAGAAAGCATTGAGTTATGTGAGGAGGGCAATGGTTTAAATTGTACACGGCCAAACGGGAGTTCGAAAAGAGCTTATCATACAATGGACGAGCTAAAAGCTCAGCGTCTTGGCGGCGAAAGGTGTCAAGTTGTGAAATGAACGAGTATTTCCTTCACCGTCAACTTCCTGAAAAATATAAGCGCTATGGGTGCGTAACCACCAAGGTGGAAAATTATTATTACCTGCATTAATTCAGTAGGATCATAAAGAAAATGGACTAGAGTGCAGCGAAAGAGAAACCACACTGGTGTTAACGACAAGGTGTAATATCATCTGTGTGTCTTTGTTTCCTTGGGTTCAGTAAAGTGTTTTATAAGCCGGGTTCATTCTCTCTTTTTCTTCCGTTCTAGAAATGCGAGACTCCGCAGGATTAGTTACGAATAACTTCACAGCACAGCCAAGATTGTTTAAGCTTCAAGTGTTGCATTAAATCTGTTAACTTTCCTGCCTCTCTCCGAGTATTGGGAAGTTGAAGGCTCAACTTTTTAACCGCGCTTTTTTCAAACATCCCTTTTTTTGCGGATCTAAATTCAGGCGTTTAGGGACTCCTTCACGGCTTTCGTTGAGGTACTTCCTCCCTATTGAAATTCTTCTCTTCAGTCGTGCTATTTCTAAAGAATTCAATACAGAAAGGCTAATAGTGAAACCATATCAACGGTGAAATTTCGGAACCATGTTTGTGTTTATGTTGTTAAAAAATTTCCTCACCTTATTAGACGTCATAATGGGGAACAAATCAACACCACTCCTTGAAACTTCTGTACAATTTTCTTTATGTGGAGAAGAAAAAGTATGCGAGTTTTCAAAGAACGGCATTGAATAGTTTTCCGCAGAAAAAAGAATGGATAACAGGAAGTTACTAGGCCCCGATCAAAATATGTGATTTCGGAAATATTCATCGCGCGTCGGTTTAAAGAATGGTCATCTTGGTCGAATTTATTCTAACAATTTTTTCTGGAGTACTTTCATACATCGTCGGTTTAAAGAATTTTTCATCTTGGTCGAACCTACCTATTCTAATAATATATTTCTGGATCACTTTTATACAATTACAAAACTAAAAACACTTGTCTTAGTTTTTCGTTTGATATTCTACTTTATTTTGAGCGCAGGAAAGAACCCTAATACGTAATTAAGGAGCCACTTTAATTCGTTCAGCTAGGGTCTCTAAAAATAAATTAGAAAATATTCCTTCATGAAATTCCGCTTTGAACTATTCAATCAATAATCTTAAAAAGTTTCATCAGATGTAAATTATTCAGCTGAAATCATGCAAGTTTTGGACCGTGTCATTCTGAAAATTGTAATGTTAAGTATACTTTGATGGAGTTAGCTAGTTATGAAAATCTACGACCTGGATAAGCATGGCTATTTTTGTCGGAGTTCACAGGTCTAAATTTTAAGGTCAACCTTGAAAAACTAAACCTTAAAATTTTTAAACCAAAATTTTGATAATTTTAGAATTGGATTCAATTAATGCATGTACCTATTTTCTGAAATTACATTATTTCAATGACTCAAATTTCTTCTTTTATACACACTGTTCTAAAGTCCACACTATTATTAGGCATCCACTACTTCAGGGCTCTCAACTGTCAGAACTGAAATATTCTTGAATTCTCTTGATTTGGACATCGTGTATAAGCTACTCATAGTTGTAAGCACGCTTATTGCTCGAAAAAATAAACTCCTTGAATCTTTGGAAAATAAAAATTTTTGTCCGGTTAATGACCCTCTTCCTTCATGTGGTCGGAAACTCAACTATCGTTCACAATTCTTCTTTTGAACGCATGAAGAAAAACTAGAAGAGGAGGAGACCTGGGGTAATATAGAAGTGATCTTATGTAAAAGGAGGTGAGAGCACAGCATTTGCGAAGTTATGTGATATTTGCTCAATATTTCCTCAACCTCTTATCTTCAAGGAGCTCACACATCGTGGAAGTGCAGATGACGCAAGCGAGGAGGTTGGAAAAATATATGGGCTTCGCCGTTGTTTCTGTAACGTAATTTTGTTTTTAAGGGAGTAAAAAAGCTTGCCGTATTCTCTCTCAGCTCAGCCCTACTTGATTTCATTGCTCCCCTCGCGTAAGAACGTATCTGGGTTTCCAAATGACCTCCGTTTCACACATAAATCCATGCTTTCTGTGGCTCATGCAGAAATCAAGATACGCCTATGCGCCAGACGAGCGACGATTCTCCCACCCACTCTCCAACTTTCAGACGTACGCTTTAAATCAAAACGAGTGACCTTTACTGAAAATCCAAGCTGTGGTTTTCCTTTATCATGTGTCCTCCTCTAGTTTGGTCAAGAATATAATTAATAATTTATGTTTATTAAGGGATTAAAAAATATTTCAAAATTTGCTATAAAATTGCCTCATAGAGTTTGGTAAATCTTCATGAGAGGTGATGATGGATCATCAGACAAGGTGCAACATTAAGAATTCTGAAAAACGTTACCTGATTTCGCGCAGAACATGATTCGCGCAACGAAAATTACTCAAATCAACTCCTAAACAACATGTTAAATGTTTTTACATCCGCAAATTTAAACTTCTTGCTCATGAAAAAACAACGGTCCATGTAAGTCAAAGTCCGCACTTTCTGTTACCGAAACAGTCTCTGTGCTACAAAAATATGGCAACTCTAACCTTGTCGCTTCGACTCAGCTGATGCAAGTTGTTAACACTTTGAAGAACACACGGTAGGAAAAGAACGTAATTGCTCGATGAAGAAGTCTGCAAAGTCATTTTAGCGCGCGATTTCACTCAAGTAGACTATTGTTTTGTTTGTGAACGGGGAATTCGAATTTCTCGTACTTAATGTAGACTAAAAGAATTTATATCTTAATTAGGAATTCTTCTTTTTCATCTTCCATTAACGACTAGGGTATGGCCATGTGTGTCAGGCCATCCAGTATGGAGCACGATAAACTATATAAATAAACTATAATACACCTTTTATAAATTACATTAAAAGTTAGGAATTGATTTCAGTAATTTTCGTCGCGCGAACCGCGTTTCACGCAAAATTTTGGTGAGGTATAACGTGAATCAGAAAGCTTGAATTTGCACCTTGTCTACCGGTCCATGTAATCAAACTTAGTGGAATTTTATTAATTATGCATTCAGTTTGCAACACCAATGACTCTCTTAATTCCTGATGGGCGTAAAAACAAGGCCTGTTTGCGTCTCTCCCGTCTTCAGGTGTGTCCCTCATGTGGCCCTTGAAGCACCACCACAAATGAGGCAGATGGGAAAGCGCATGCACAAAACGTAAATAGAGCAAGAGAAAGGGCGCGCATTGATGACGGCGCAAAGATACGACTATTCGTGCTTCTTGGATGTCCGTGTTGCACTTGCGAAATTGAAGGCGCGACGGCGGCGCGGCGTCAGACACGAACTCTCAATACACACTTTTATGCGATTAGATATCGCTCAGATTCGGGAGAAACTTTTTCAAAAACGAGGCCTGAATACGTCCTTCCTATCTTCCGCTGCCTTGACACCCGTTTTTTTTCAAATTTTTTGAATTTGATGTATGCTATTTTTTTTACGGTGTATTTCTAGACTTTTATCTCAAATTCGTATGTACCGGATCCGAACAACCAGCAGACCACGTGTTTTTAGCAAACTTTGGGTCAATTTGACCTGACTCGGGCATGTAAGGGATATTATGTGTACAAAACAAAATGTTTTAATAGCTTCTTATGACAGGATTCAGCTATTTTATTTAACTTCATACATGATATTTGATGTTGCAGGTGCATTTACACCAATTAAATATTTATCACTAAGGAGCCTTTTACCCGACACGGAGCATTTCATGACTTATGAAGGCTCAACGACGCATCCAGGCTGCTGGGAAACCGCTGTTTGGATCATACTCAATAAACCTATCTACATTACAAAACAAGAGGTAAGATACATTCCAACTTTCTGAGATATATTGATTACTCATAACTTTTTTTTTTTTATTTTATTTTATTTTATTTTTTTTTAAATCAAGGAAAGCTGAAAGTCGTCAAAATTAACCAGGGAAAATATCAATGAAAAGATATTTTCTGGCATTTCGTTCTCTATATTTTGTCGCTTTGTTCTCATTTTTCAAGACGTCATATGCCAGACGAAAATAAAAGCATGATAAATGATGAATTGTAAGGGATTATATGACCTCCGTGAAATGGGTTTCGAAGTTACTTGAACTCGAGGTTTCAATTTCTTCGATGAGGAAGTTTGATAGTCAACCGAGTTATTCCTCTTTGTCTTTGATGACGAACAAAATCCCACTTGGTGGGGAGAGAATGAGGGCATTCCATTTTAAAGTGATCCCAAGTTCATTCATTAGTTCTGCCCCCGAGGAACATCAACGGCAGCTCTTAATTTTTTAAACCGTGAAACTGTAAAATCTATCCCTTTAATTCCTTTGATAATTTAAAATACAAGGAGCGCGTCGAGTTATTAATTTGATATTTTTTTTTACTTATTCGGGGAAGAGAAAAAAAGTTTTTTCCTCGAAACTTCTTCTTTCTTCTTTTTCTCTAATTGGGAAGTATTTTAGTAGCCCCTTTGACAGCGGAAGAGTTGATGAAAAGAATTCGCGAGACTTGGAAAGCATTTCCAGTTAATAACAGTTGTTCACATCTATGCGACATTAAAGGGATAATTCTTTTTTCATTTTACAAGTAGAGAAGTGCGGTTTGTTAGCTCGAAATAATTTTAATAATAGGATTGATCTCATTTCTATGTAAAGAGCTTAACACTGTCCTTGCTTTTCTTATTGTCTTCATTAGTTTTTTCCCTGGGGCTTTCTTATTTTCCTTTGTTGCAGCTTTGTTTTTCTAATTAAAATTGGTAATACATTTGATTTTTAGACATTTTTTTATTGTTTGCCGCAAAAGAGTTGCCGTTGAAAATGCACTCTTCCAAATTTAGATTCTAGAAGCATGCAGACATTTTTTTATAAGAAATGTAATGAGAAAAGCTATACGGAAAAACTTGTTTCACTAGAAACTGTTCTTTAATTGATTTAATCTACTTACTACTAATGAAGTGTAAATACTTACGAAGAAAATTGGCCCCAAAAATAAATCACACTACCCAAGTTTTGCTATGGCACACAGTAGAACGCGACTCTCGGAGAAGTTGGATTTTTCATGATTTAATAATAGTGTAAATGTTGATGTTTATTTGATTACATTAAACATTTTAAGGGGCACCACTTGATGGAAACTTAACTAGAGAACCAATCGAATCACTTTAAAAAGTCTACGTTTTGTGTCAACGTAAATATAACCTTTTAAAGTATTTACTCCACACCTTGTCCGACCTCTTTCACCAACTCGCTCCACTGTGCGCCAGAAAATATTAGGTGAAAGATAATTTTGGCTCTCTCCTCGGAAAAAGCATACGAAACAAAAACTGCTTCTTCCGGGAGGAGCGATGAATAATTTGCACAATGACTTGTGCAAGTCCCTCGATAGGAAGATGCTAGAGCGTTGCTCTTAAAAATGTATAAGGGCTCGGTTTCAGCTGAGTGAAAGGAGCTTGGCGGTGGGCGCAACGATCAGTGTGATCAGCGGTGAGAAAGATTCGATCACAAAACACATGGGGGGGGGGGGGGGGAGTGATTGGGCGGAAGGGTTGAAGGGGCGGAAGCGGAGACGGAAATTAAAGCATGTGAGATTGGATTGAAGCCGAGCTCATGGCTACGCGGCCAGCGGAGTGCTCCAAAGCAATCTGCAACCGAAAACCGCGTTTAGGCTGCATTGTCAGACTTTTAGTAAACTGAACAGTTGAGCTTGGTCGTGATCGTCTAGGTGAAAAGGGACCTCGCACTGAGATAAAAAGTTCGCTGGTATGAACTGAGCCCAGGTTCTTATAGGCCCTCTAAGGGGCCGTTCAAGTATTACAAGGAAAAAATTAAATTGCTGATTTAACAATTCAATTGCTAAAAAAAAGTGACTGCAATGTTTCAATGTGGATTTTACAACAAAAAAATGCTACAATTTAACTACCCTGGTTAAATTAGCTTACAGTACTGCCATGCTAAGGAAAAACGCCGAATGAGCCTTCAGGCGTTGCCAGATTTCCTTCGGAAAATCACTAATTTTCAAGAAAATTTGTGCATATTTTTCTTCCAATTTCTCAGATGACTTTGTTCATAATTTGATCTAAAGAGTCTGAAAATTTCAAGGAAAAATATTGATAATTCTCCTCAAAAATAAACATTTTATCGAAAGAAACTTGACAACTGTCGAATGTTTATACGGCGTTCTTCCTTAGCACGGCAGAATAGTGGTTGAAGTAGCATTTTTTTGTTGTAAAATCTACGTTGAAACATTGCAGCCACTTTTTTTAGCAAATGAATTGTTAAATCAGCAATTTAATTTTTTCCGTGTACATAACGCACTTGGGGGGAGGGCGGGTTTGAGCCAGCGTTATTTAACAAATTCGAGACAGGGGGGGACTTTGTTTCAACTTGAAACTTCGAGAAAACAGCTTTTCAAGCTGTTTTCTCAGCGTTTCCTTGATTTTTTATAATTGATGGGCGGAGGAGGGGGTGTCAGGCCAGCGATACTTCATTCAAAAGGGGGGGGGGAGGGTTGCGTTTCGGACGCGTTCAAAGGGACGGAGGGGTGCAAATGAACTCAACTTCAAGTACTTAGGGGCACTAAGTGTTACTTCACAGAAAAGCGACAATTTAGCATTGAAAGTGGTGTCGGTCTGGCGCGAAAATTCTTGGGGTGCTAATACGATTTTGAGAGTCTCTCCTTCCTGGTGGGGCCTTCCCTAACTAACCCACAGTCCTCCTTTATTTGGATTTATTTATGGTTTTAAGGGTCCTATCTATTCCTACCCAATTATTCCTATACCTAATTATTCCTACCTACACCTCCCAAGCCACCAGGCAGAGTTTCTGGGATGCTGAAGTACCCTAGCCTAGAACCCCTAGCCTCACCACCCCTGTCTGTATATTCTTCAATTGAAAAGAGGAAATGTAGTAAGAATAGGAACCTTCGAACAAACAAAAGCGGGTCCAAACCTACAGCCTTTGACGTTAGCCGGACCTGAAGAGTTAGAGAAGTGCCTAAGCAAACTGACGGACAGTTAAAGTTATAACCAACTCGCTTTTGCGCTTTTGCGTCTATGATGTTAGGATTAGAAATTGTGATCATGTTCCTCTGAATGATCAATTGAGGAAATAAAAAAGATAGGGATGGAAAAACATAAATACATAAATAAATGAACAAGCAGTTCTAAACAAAAATTTGAAGAGCGCGCCGATATCGAGGTCTAAATTACCTGAGAGCATACCGAATTTATAACTGAACAGAAAAATAATAGATGCCTCGATTGCAAAGTTGCATATAGTGTCCGCCACTTTCGCCATCTTGGAGTTTTGAATTTTAAAACATTAACCGCAAATTCGATTTTTACGTGAAAGAATACCGCCGGGAACCGAGTTTTACAAACACCCATTGACCAGGAGTCGGGTTAGTATTTTAGGCCATATCCACCCTCTTGGATGTTCAAGGTTTGAAAATTTGAGTTTCCTGTCCAAGAATGCCGCCTGGTACCGAGTTTGACAAAAATCGATCGCACGGGAGCCGCGCATTGTACAACGAGTAGGACTCGACCCGGTGGTAAGGGACACGAGTCAAGTTACAAACGTTAGTGCGCCTTCAATTTCGCCTGATACTATGCAATACTTCCAAGGTGGAATAGTTGCTCATAGCGCCTTTCTACAGTGTCGTTTTGCCTTGATGGCAGAAGATCGCTGTTGCCGCTGACAACCATCTATGGCGCGTGCGTATTGGACATTTTCTCATCACCGATTGAGAGGTAAAAACATTCATATCTCAATTTGCGATGTCGTAAGTTGTTCATTCCCTCTTTTATACGTGTAAACCGATGTGAACATTCAAAAATCCGTCGTGAAATAACATTTTTGAATGAACTTAAAAAAGAGGTGTCTATCAAGATTCTATAATACGCAGATTTGATCTCTTTACGCATACACGTCTGATAAATTTGATGTCAATTATAAAACTTTTATTCATCCAAAAGCATAAAAATGAAACCTTTTAATATCACGCACTTTTATAATTAGTACTTGCGGGGATTTTAATACATCGAAAAGAGGACAAATTCTTACAGCTGTTAGCAAATCGTTTTGAATCTGCCCAGGACTTTTTCTCGTGGGAAGAAAAGGTGCGAAAATGATAATAAAATCGGAAAGTAACGAACACAACATCAACAGGTACCCGAAGTCGGAGTTCATTTATAGCCCTCGGGGGCGATATTAAAATGCTGTTATATACTCAGATAGCAACTTAAATTCTGCGCCGCGTTGTTTCAGAAGGCCTCAAGATGTTTCGAAGAACGTGATTTATGTTATTGCAACGCTCAAGTCAAAGATAGTACGCAGAGCACGATCTTAGAATAGAGCATTCTTGTGAAGAGCGTGACCCTCCATCTACCCCCCCCCCCTCTTTTAACCACAGAGCGTGTTCTCACGTTACTGTAATCGTTTCGCTACGAGCTCTCCACTCTTGGTCTTTACGCTATGATTAAACATCGGGATACCTCGTGTACTTTGACAAAAATATTTGAGAGGCGGTTTGACAAAAAGAACCCTACTAAAACCGATCACGTTGGCACCATATTATGTTGAGTGACACACGGTGTACCATGTTGACGTCAACTGGTGTCAAAATGGTATCAACATGGTCCCATCATTGTTTCGTTTTGGTACCGTGGCGGTCACTGTCGGGCAATGCTACCAATTTGGTGCTAATACCAGTTGGCGTATAGACACATAGCGTTAAATGGCAGAAATTGTATCGTCAACCATTAAAAGATGACGTTGTTAAATATCGAGGAGTTAAATTCGGTGCCGGAGTCTGTATAGCGCCCAAAAGACACGAGTGGTACGAATGCGAAGTGAAATTAGCAGCATGAACACGTATGACACTCTGCAAAAAGAGGAAATTCCGCTCTGTAATAGTGTAAGTCATTCCGTAAGGAGAAAAGATACCACTCCGTATTCATATATCACTCGGGGTGGTCTTCTATCACTTCGAGCGGTTACCTATCTTCAACCTCCGTCCTCGTCAAGATTGGTTTTAGTTTGATGAAACATTCAAAACCGTATTCATAAAATAAATGAAATATGCGTGTAGTTTTATAGTTAAATTTCCATGGTTAACGTTCATGCTTATTGATATGAAAACACAGACGCACTGATCATTTTCAGCTGTAATTTAAGTCCTCAGCAATATGGGTTGACTCAAATACAGATGAAGAATCGCATTCACAATTGCGTTTTGCTTGCACGCGGCTTCATTTTATTTCCCTCTAAAACTTGGCTCTCTGAACTCAGCATTATTTAATCACATGCCCATTTGCGCAGTCCTCGAGCTCAAATACCAGAGTGTCGTTGGACTAATTGAAAACCTGAAAATTGTGACGGATCACGAAAAAGTGTCATTAGACCCCTCCCCTTCCAAAAAAAACTGCGAATACCTGGGTTCTGTCCCCAATAATTTTCTAATCACTTGAATCAATTATACGCAACAGTTACATGGTATAATGACTACCCTGTTGTCAATTCATGTCCTTTAACAAGGTTTTTTATTGTTCGCGGGTGGAATAATATAATAAAACCGTTTCTCGCCGTGAGAAAAACCGTTTTCAACAGAAACAGGGGCCGAACGCAGATGATAGATTATCGATACTTCCCTATTTGAAGCTATGGTAAAGAATCGATCATTAAGGTGTTCATTGTGAGCACCTTGTTTATCGATCCTTTTCCATTGCTTTAAATGACAGATTAATCAATATATCGCAAATCACGTCACGTCACTGAGTAGAAATTGGGTAGCTTCAAGTGTTACAGAAAATATTGGTGTACCTTTGTACGCTAAGCTCAGTTTGGCAAGACCGCCTGAGCGTGCCACCCGCATGTGAATCCTGAAACAAGAAACGACCCGTGTAAACCATGTTGATTTCGCACCTACCTCTGATTCGCAAAATGTATTTTTCCTCCTGGCTTCCTGCTCTCCTTAATTGTTCAAACTTTGCGAAAAGAAGGGAATATGTCTTTCTGTAGAGTATTTTGTAGACAAAATTATGGCTTTTCAGTCTTTTCCGCACCGAAAAAAAAGATTGGTAGAATTCACCATTCCTTCACGCTGTATTTCACACAGCGTGAAGGAATGATAAATTCTACCAATCTTTTGTTTTCAGTGCGCGGCATTGTGGCATTGCATCTATTATCGAACTTGATTATAATATTCTCATCTATGATAATGACAATAAAATCGCGTGAACGTCGGAAAAACGTTTACTTCTGGGACGATTTTTCAGCGCTCGGAGGAAAATACAACATTACAATCGAAGATCAATCCCAAACGATAGGCGATAAAACTCGGTTTTTGAGCTCCGGATTTCTCCCTCAGAATGCGAGACGCGGAAAGTTCGAGATTCAGGACCATTCTTGAACTAACGCGCATTCACTAAAAAATCCTTAAATTATCTTTGGATTTATCGGTGTTTTTCCTCTCAAAGTAACTTCTGCCTTCGCGGTTGGCATGGCATCACTACTCGTGCATGACGCCCAAGTATAAATTTCACTATGCATTTTATTGTATTAATCCGTTTTCAACAATTGTAGTTCATCCACCTATAATGAATATTTTATTCGTGAATCTTAGCTATTTTCCTTTAATTATTTATATTTAATTTTTTAATTTTTTATCATACTTAGATATTACTTTATTCCTCCACTTTTACAAAGTTTTATGTATTCATATTTATAGCTAAATTAAATTACACGGGAAAAAATGGATATCAGATTTTACAATTAAATTGTTAGAAAGTGTGTCCGACATGTTTTAGATGTACGTTTTACAATAGTGCTAATTTAACCACTCCCGTGGTTAAAGTAGCATTTTTTAACTGTAAAATCTAAATTAAAACATGTCGGACACTGCGCAAATTGTCAAATTAGTCATTTCATTTTTCTCCGTGTAATTCATTATTCATGTTTTATTGTATTCGTTCAAATTTAAGATTTTATTTTTATTCATTCTTGTTTAATACATATATAATTTAAAGAAACATTTTCCTGGCCGAAGGAGAGTACATTTAAGAATGTGTGCACGTCCAAATTGTTGCAGCTGTATGCTTTGCGGAAACTAATGCAAGGCTCGGAGGATATTCCTAAAGCACCCCTGGGTAACAACGCCAGACCTCTCCAATCACTCAATCAAAGGACTGTGAGAACCAACATAGATTTTAAAACAAATGAAATAGCTACGCAAGTAAGTAAATCCGATTTGTTTCTATTTTGGAAGTCGATTTCATGGGTGTTACAGATTAGGACGCTTCTAAGTGCTGAGTGAAGGAATTTCACAATAGTCAATGCGTTGTGAAAGTTTTGAAAACTTACCCTCCTTTCCTCCCAGGTTTAAATGTATTATTGAAGCGGGCGAAAAGAAGCCGCAATTTTACTGCCAAAAAACATATTTTTCAACCAGATTATTCTCATGGCCACTATCAGTATGTTGCCGATATCTCACCGATACATCGCTGTTAGTACCTTACGTCCCTCCTTGGGTTTGTATATTTAGCGGGCGGAAATAATTTTTACGCGGGTAAAATAATCCGTAATAGCTTTCACATCTTGAAGAAATGGAAGTATGAATGATTAACGATTGTTATTATTCACCTCAAAGTAATACATGTTTGTATTATACTTCCCTTCTCTTGGTTGCTAATGTTTCCTCCGAGATAGCTCCGTAGCGGGGGGATAATATGCGGGGTAGTAGGTTGAGGTGAAGTGAATTAATGCGTCTAAGTCAAGCCTCTTTTTTCCCCACATTGAATGAGCAACAATCTTTGATGTCTGGACTCAGTACATTATGTTGTGACATTAAAAATGGAGATTACGTCTCAACTCATGCAAAATGTTTTTTTTTTTTTTTTTTTTTTTTTTTTTTTTTTTTTTAAATTTGAAGCCCATCAATATCTTTCTCTTTCATGCTCCTTTCAAATTGGGCCAATGAGCATGCTGTATTAAAATCTTCTGCTCGCGTAGTGAAATGTAGAAATTAAAAACGCAGCGCTGATATCACAACATCTCTCATTCAAATAACGTCTCTTAGCATAAGGCGAGCAATCAATCCTGTCAAGTACAGATCTCGTTGATTTGTAAAATACCGTTGCACCATCCAGTCATATAGCCAACACTCCGCACCAAGGAAATACACCGTAGGTACATTCAAAGGTTGCCAGATTTCTGGTGATGTAATAATCATCTTGGAGGAAACTTATAATAGTTCTCCTGAAAATTTTCGGGTATTTTAGGTAAAATTCCGAATAAAATCCTCTGAAAAATTGAAGGAATTATATTCACATATTTTTCTAGAAGTTTGTATTATTTCATAAAAAAATGACAGTATCTGGAGGCTCATATGGTTGTCATCCTTAGCACAGTAGAACATATTATCTCAAAAACACCACCAACACACGCTACAACAACAGCACTGATATCTCAAAAACAGGTGCTGATTTAAATGTAATAAATGAAGTCAAAGTTCAGCTAATTCAGTCAAATTTTATGGATTGTGCAAGTAAAAAATGATGATTATTTTACGCCTGGTAGGACGAAATGACTGTTATTCACTATAATGAATAATTGTCTCAATCATACAATCATTCATCACTTTGAATAAGGAAATTTTACCCGGAAATTTAACTTATCTGATCTTCATGTCTATGTGAGAAAATTTTACGGAACTCAGAGAGAGGGGTCTCGACGCACGAATTACTTTACCTCTCAGGATTAGGAGGTAGTACAAATTGTAATACAAATACCTTTCGATTTGCCAAATGACTAAGATTGTATTCCCTTCGATGCATAAAAGGCAAGTATTCATAGACATAAGAAGGTAGTGATCCTGAGAATAGGATTAACAACTTATACGTTTTTACGTTGAAAATCAACAGATTTAGAGAGCGATAGGATATGGGGTTTCTTTGGAACAATAACCATGCACTCACTTAGGAGAAGAGGGAACATTCCGGCCTGTAACTTACACAAAGCTCTTTTCGTTTGCAGGAAAAGCAGTGCTCAGTGACAATGTTCAAAGAAATGTACTACAAAGGTAAGATCCCGCTTCCTTCGTTATTCTCTCATGCGTTATTGCATATTATATTTGTTCCTCGTTTGTTTTTCAATTTATCTTTTTCCCTCATCTTCCATATTTCTACGCCCATTTTTACGCGCCATTTATCTCTCGCACCTCCGAATTTATATTCTGTATACTTATTCATTTTATCGCACCTTTATGTCCCGCATAAACATGTCCCTGCGCACATGCTTTTATCCCCGGATTTTATACGTATTTTTGGATCAATTTAAGTCGCTTTGAAAAACATTTTGTCGTTCCCCTAAGCACTAGCTGAGCATTGGCAAAGAGATATACGTCTTCTCGTTTTAAAAATCCTTTCTATCATCCTCCTCGTCTCTTTATTTTTTTAATAGAGTTTTTGTCTTTTCTTATGCTCTGCGTGCTCTTCTTCGAAAGTACAAATACATTTTTATCGGTTAATTTGGACGTTTCTCTTCTTTTAGGCGTTTCTGCTTACCAGATGAGCCCTTTTCAGCCGTTGCGACCCTTCGATGTAACATGTACTATGTGTTGGCTTATGGGTAATAACGTCAATTCGGCACAGGCGCAAAAATTTGGATCTTTTTCATTTTTTGGTGCTTGTTAAAACTGGGGTACCTAAAATGTTCAGTGATTGAAAAAAAGTTTGTGCACGAAGCTGATTACATTATATTTTTGGGCCTCGTCATGTTTAAATATTTACATCGGAAACGTTCTCCCCAGACTACTTTTGAAACGGTCGCGTGATATTGTCTCCTGTTCCCGACAGTGACGTATGGTTCGGCTTTTTCTGTGGCCGCCATTTTGTTTTTTAATCCCACCTCAAATTTCAAGAATAAACAAAAACAAAAATGGGCATTGTGCACTGTGAAAAATTGCTCTAGACTACCCATTACGTCCCTGAAAGTCAAAATCAGACGTTTACATTGAACGATTGATTTATTTCGTGAGAATCCAAATATTCATCTTTTGCCTCAAACGCGAGGACACAGCTGACTGATGTGGCCGCAATGAGCTTACGCAATTTCTGAACACGCCTTTCAATTCTCAATTCTCATATTTTGCTTTGAACTGTTCCTAAGAGTGGCAACAGCGCAGCGCCGGGACCTTCTAACAGCAGTTTTCTCGAATTTCCCGTTTTTTGCCCTAAAGCTTTAAATTGCTTCCAAACGGTCAATTTTGCAAGATTCCGGGTGTTTTTCCAGCCGCAAGATGCAAAAGTTATCTCACTTTCTTCTTCCCCATCTTAAGCCACAGCTTACCTGCCTCTGTCACAAATAGTGAAAGAACCAAAATGAATGATCCAAGTTGAAACGCCTTCCTGGAAATGGAATAAGGAAAAGAGAGGATAATGCACCCAGGTTTTCTGGGCTCAAGCATAAGGAAACAGCGTCTCGGAATTGGACGTATTAACACCGAAAGGAAGCATGTGCATGGGCTTTTCGTAAAACATGGCTCCTTTTAGCATAAATACCCTCAATTGAGACGACAAACATTCCATCCTGAGGTATCTCGTCGTACAGAGTAACTTAACTCACCCTGTCTCGGCTTTAAGCGAGAACACAAATAAATAACCGCGCTAAATACTTCAAGTTCCTTCTACCAAAAGCGTCTTTGAGGTTTTACTCCAGCTCCCCATCCTCTTTCTCCCCGAATTGATCACATCTAGATTCCTTTCTTTATGCATTTCTCGTTAGGGTTAAGAGGGCGTGCATTGTTCAAATAATACGTACCTCGGCGAGCACACGCTGTAAAAACGCACACTATGGTGGCGAACATATCGTCGCTCCTCCGGCGTAAAGCCTGTGTCACACTATCAAAATACTCCATGAAAATGGCAAGGTCAAGTGCTGTGATTGGTCCTAGTCATGAGATAAGCCAATCACAACATCTGAACTTGATATTTTGATGGCTAGTTTTGATAGTGTGACACAGGCTTATCTCAATTTTGGCATGCGCCCCAGAAAGCAAGGATCCCGTGGAAATTGAGATACGCCCGACGCGTCAGAGGGGCCACGATATTTTAAGACAATTCCAGGTGACTGTACACTGGAAGCGAACAAACATCCAGGTCATTCCAGGTGTTCAACAATTTTCTTGAAACATCCCTGTTACTCTTCTTTTTTCTCTTAAAATAGAACTATTCCACCTAGAATCATACAACAATCACTTATTCTAAAAAAATCAGTCTTGGAAACTTGATATTATTTAAGTATCCGCACGCTAAATACAGCAAAATGTCGCACTTGCTGAATCCTGTCGAACGGTATCCTCGCGTGTTCGTTTTCTTGAGTTTTCGGGATAAGGGGATTCTAAAAGTTTCTGCAGGGGTGAGCGATTAATCGCTTTTACAAGTTTCCTAAAATACGCTGAATTACCCCTTGATAAGCTCCCTTGAAGATTGGATAAGCATGTTCTTTCTAAAACATTAAAGAATTCTTTTTTAAGTCGATGGATTTTCTCAAGTTCTGCATCTGGAAACGTCTGAATTTCCTGCAATGCCTGTTACTTTTCTCACAGAATTGCTAAATACTTTCATCCTAACATCTAAATTATTCGCATTCGCCTTTTCTAGCTTCTCTGAAATATTAATCAGTCTATCTGGCCATACGGCTATCGCTGAATGATTTCCAGTCCCGACATCTCTACCTAGAAAGAAAGTAACTTACGAGGTGTGCTAGGTTTCATGGAAACGTAATAACGTACGGACTGCCGAAAATAATTTGTATTTTGTGACTCAAATTCGTTGTTTTTTTAAAAATATTCGTCAAAGTCATGCTCTTTCCATAGCTTCAATTGAAAAGTTTTACACATTAACAATTTGTTTTGAGCCACACTGCCGTGCTGAGCAAGAACGCCGTAAATCCATCATGATTTTCCCTCGTTTTTTGGAATTTAACACTTTATAAAATAAAAACTGTTATACCCATGCACCTCACATTTTCAGGTTAAGTTCTTAATAGTATTTGCAAAAGAATTCTGTAAAAACCTAGTCCGAAGGTACACAGTTTTTCTGCTATAATACATTGTTTCCAAAACATGTAAAATGGCGCTTACGGCGTTTTTTCGTTGGACGCGCGGCAGTACAATGTTTTTCGGAGGTAAAGAAGACGAGACGCTCTAGGGCTTGTCTTGGAGAGCCGAGAGGATCTATTCAAAAGAAGAGCGGGCAAGATTGAAGGGAGGAGAGGTCAAGTTGCAGTTTCGAAGAAAGGGAAATTCAATCATCCCTTCACGGAGAAACCAAGCACTTATGGCTCCCCATAGCATTTGTCTTTACAGCGATGGCCTCAACGAGGCTCAGAAAGGATCAGATCGGATTGAAAAGGGTCTAATTCGCAAAGGAGCCGAAGGGTATTGCGTTAAGAAAACAGATGAATAAAGAAAGCGACGATAAAACTAGGAGAGCTTCTCCATGTCATAATTTGATTTGACGAAAAGAATGTCCATGTCTAGTCGGCGGAATCTCGAAGTGATCCCTGCCTCTCTTATCGCATCTGTGTAGGACCAAAGTTGGGCTCAAGCGCTGAAGGGGGATTTGAGATGTGTATTTTTACGAGAGAGCAATAAAAGATAGCGGAGATTCGAAAGATTGACTGAAATGAAGGGAGGGGGGTGGAGGGGGTGTGTGAAAGAGGGAACGACAGCTTATGAGATAACGCGAGGAAGAGGAAAAGGAAGCAAAGGCTCCTCAGCTTTGTTGCAAGGGAGCAAGGAAATGATATAGGAGGGCAAGTGAGAAAGAAAGGAACTCGCATTCTTTCAATTTAAATTATGCTTAAGGTGTGTATGTGCTCCTGGTGGGGTGGCGCCACCGTCGGGTTGAAGATGCGTCAAACTGCTCAGCTATCTTTTACCTCACTTCTTAAACAACCATTAAAATTGTTATTCGGCCCCACCTCGGGAGCCGAGACTCAGACTTCAACTTGTATCGAATTTTTGTTTTTGTACCTCGCTGCACCTCTGTCCCATTCGCGTCCCCGTCGACTGTGCCCCGTCTGGAATATTTCACCGGACTTAAATTGGATTTGTCGCGAAAGCTGCGCCGAGCTTTGAATGCATTTTAGCACACCCTTGTCGTTCTATTTTTAACTCTTCGACTACAGACTATTAATTCAATCACAGGCAACATTTTCTGAGGCACCAAACAGTCTGTTATTATGAAAAACAAACATCTGAAAAAACCTCCAGCGATCCAATTCGCCGTGCTAAGGAAAAATATATGTACATAAACAATCGAATGTTGCCAAATCTCCCTCGATAGAATATGCATTTTTGAGGATATTTATGAATCTTTTTCGCTGAAATTTTTAAACACTTGAAAACAAATTGCGAAGGACGATATCTATAAAATTGGCAGAAAAATACCTATAGGCAAATCCGCACTTTATTGCAGAAACCATAGCTCGCTAAGGTCTGAAGGCTCTTAAGGCGTTTTCCTTAGCATGGCAACAGTGACTGTGCTATTCTGACAGCCGCGATACGCAGATGAAAAATTTTTTTTAGTGCAGTCATTAGATTCCTGCAGGCCGATGACTGAAATTGATAGACAAAGCAAATGACGAAGAAGACAAATGGAAAATTATGTGATCCTATCGGTTAAAACGGATGGTTGCAAAGGAGGTGAGCAATGGACTAGATAAATCAAACCTTCAAAAGGCCCTACAGTTAGTCTAAAATTTCCACCGTCAGTCTATAACAACCATCCGTTGTAACCGGTGGTATCTGTCCATTTTCCATGTGTCTTCTTAGGCTATCGCTGCGTCGATCAGTTTCAATGATCAACACACGGGTGATATGGATAGCATTTAGTATAAGTGAACCACGCGATTTTTAGGGAAATCGAGTACATGATTGACCTGCCTAAGCCTATTCATTCTCTTCAATATATTGCTCGGTGAGTTGGTGCAGCAAGTTCGCCTTCAATTTCGAGTGATACGATGCCACGCTCGCATGGTTGAATTGTTGCATCGCGTTAATGTATACGCTAACTAAAGAGATCATTCATTTTCACAGTCATTCTTTTAAATCCAGCAACTTTAACCGTGACAGGACTTGCATAGTGAGTTGGCGCGGTAGAATCATCTACAATGTTGAGTGATTCAGTTGGTTCCCTTCCGCAAATCCATTTTCCTCTTGAAACATTCTAAGACTGAGCTAGCTGTTTGTTGGTTCTCTTCTAAAGGTAAAATAATTCCGTTTGATTAAAAAAAAAAAAAAAAAAAAAAAACCATTGAAAAGAGTCAGTAACAGTCAACACTTTTAATTGAATACTTTGATGCATGGGCTCAATTATACCGGTTTAAACAAGTCTGGAATCCGTATTTCAGCTAGTAGAAAGTGAAATGTTGGTCTGTTGCAAGCAATTTTTAAAAACGAGAGTGTTAAGCCTTTACTCGAATTTCTCAGAAGGGCTGAAAGCGCCTTGGTTCGCACTTTTGTGAATGCAATCTATATCATCCTCAGTATATCTAGAATTGAGTACCAGTATTCTGTCAGTATCATAAGCACGAATCCGATTAAGTTTACCATTCGCGTGATATGCACTGTCAGAAATCTAGTACTGGCTGCTGGATTAAGCTTATTTGAGTCAGGAATCTAGTGATCCTGTAACCCGTGTATCATGCCGCTTATTGGCGGATTTCCTTTTTTGTCTAAAATCTTGTCACCCGTAGGTATATACCGTTATTCCTATCATTTTTTCAATTTTCATAATAAATGTGGCTTAATTTTGTTACAGCAAACACATGGCGAGAGCACGACCCATTTCAAGTTTAGTTCATAGTATGCTTCAGCCTTCGTTTTACAATGTAAATATTAGTGTGACTGTTAAAGAATCTTGTTACTTTCGTGTAATCATGCAATATTCATCCTAGAATTTGTACGTTAATAAATTACAGCGTCCTTATGTTATTTTGTAGAAAATTGTTCATCCGTTTTTCAGTCCGTTAACCAAAGCCTCTTTAAATTCTGCAATAAATTTTTAATTTCAATTGTAAATTGCGTTGCGATTTTTTCCTCGTTTTGTTCCTTTAGGGCTACCTATTTTATGCAGCCAGAAAAGAAACAAGGATTTTGCTTCTAGGAGCACGGAAAAAAATCTTTGGTGCTTATAGCCATATAGTAGAAGACATTAACCATCTTGGATTCCCAGATTCGACCCCTGAGAACAATTTTGTTACGAGCAAAATGATACGATGGTTAGAAACCTCAAACCGCGATCAGGTAGGCGTTGACAACAAAGATGGTAATGGGCCTGTTGCAAACTTTTGCTAGAGCAAAAATAAGAGTTGTTTCTTGTAGATAATGCCTCAAAAATCACGATGAGCGCATCGGCAAAGTCTGAAATGCACTCATAACTTCACAATCTGCGTAAGAAAGGAGGGGTGGCGATTTGGGCCGTTTCCGGCCCCACCTAATCCGGGACTTTTTTTGCTGTGATTCGTTACGTATAAGTGTCAAGAGAAAGCATGCCAAGTTTCAGGCCGATCGGCCCAATATTCGGGGGGCAAGGGCCCCCCGAATTTTTAAGCGCAAAATCGGTTTTAATTTTGTAGCGCCGTCAATTTCGCTCGTATACAGATGAAAATTGGGTGCCAGGGGTAAAATTTTGCGTTCTTTCCATTTCCGCCGTCAAAATTGGCACTGGGGCAAAATTAAGGGGGGTTTTGGGGGGTTTTTCGCGATTTTTCGCGTTTTTTACCAATTTTCTGCGGTTTTCATGCTTTAAGTCAGAGATTTTCAGCCAAACGACCACAGATTTGATTTCTACGCAAAAAATTACATAGGAACACAATGACCAACTAACACACAACAGCGGATTTCTCTAGGAAAAACTGACCCATAAATATGTGTTCACTCAGAAATTTTGAAAATAGCCATGTTTCGGGTACAGCCCAAGCTTGTAGCACTACCATATTCACATATGATACGCTCTAGGTCGACCCTGTTGATATTATCGGGAACTTGAAATGCTACCCGCTTGGGCGGAGGGTCGAATTCTCCTCAGAAACGAATAAAAA